TTTTTTGAGACAGTCTCGCTCCATCACCCAGGCTGGAGAGTGCAGTGGCACGATCTCGGCTCACTGCAACCTCCGCCTCTTGGGTTCAAGCAATTCTCCTGCCTCAGCCTCCTGAGTACCTGGAATTACAGGCGCCTGCCACCATGCCTGGCTAATTTTTGTATTTTTAGTAGAGATGAGGTTTCGCCATGCTGGCCAGGCTGGTCTCAAAACTCCTGACCTCAGGTGATCTGCTCACCTTGGCCTCCTAAAGTGTTGGGATTACAGGCGTGAGCCACCGAGCCCGACCCCTATACATATTCCTAAACGTTGCTCAATCTGTCCCCAGAGTTCTTCACCCACTTCCGAGTCTCTATCCTCTTGCTTCATTTGAGTCTATCTCAGTTTATGACACATTACTGTTTGGGTTCTCAATCATTATCCCAAGAGCCACGATGGCTTTTACTTAGACCAAAGTCGAATTCATCCTTACAACCCACAAGTGAGGTTGATCAGAACCCAGAGAGGTTTAGCAAAGGAGGTTAAAATGAAGTAAATAATTCCAAACTGCATCTTGGGAGAACTAAATCCTCATTGCTGGTCTGCCATGATCATCACTAATATCAAACAAGTGCTGGAAACAGCAACCCCCATATGGCATTGGATAAGTTACAAAACCTCTCTTTGCTTCTGTTCTCCCATCTGTCTTGCAAGAACAATACTTCTTGCTCCCTGGCTCCTAAAGGTATCAAGATAGGGAATGGTTTTTTTGTTTGTTTGTGTTTGAGACAGTGTCTTGCTCTGTCAACAAGGCTGAAGTGCAGTGGCATGATCTTGGCTCACTGCAACCTCCACCTCCCGAGTTCAAGTGATTCTCCTGCCTCAGCCTCTCAAGTAGCTGGGACTACAGGTGCACACCACCATGTCCAGCTAATTTTTGTATTTTTAGTAGAGATGGGGTTTCACCATGTTGGCCAGGATGGTCTCGATCTCTTGACCTCATGATCTGCCTGCCTTGGCCTCCCAAAGTTCTGGGATTACAGGAGTGAGCCACAGCGCCTGGCCGGAAAGCATTTAAAAAAAAAACAAAACAAAAACAACAGTCTTAAAATAAGACTAAAAAATTGTCAAAATAAATCCCTTGACACTTATTTAAAAAAAAAACAGAGATCCAGGCCTGATATCAGATGTTAATCATGCACCTAACCAAATAATATCTTTCTTTTTTTTGACACGGAATCTCGCTCTGTCGCCCAGGCTGGAGTGCAGTGGCCAGATCTAAGCTCACTGCAAGCTCCACCTCCCGGGTTTACGCCATTCTCCTGCCTCAGCCTCCAGAGTAGCTGGGACTACAGGCGCCCGCCACCACGCCCGGCTAGTTTTTTTTGTATTTTTTAATAGAGACGGGGTTTCACCATGTTAGCCAGGATAGTCTGGATCTCCTGACCTCGTGATCCGCCCGTCTCGGCCTCCCAAAGTGCTGGGATTACAGGCTTGAGCCACCGCGCCCGGCCACCAAATAATATCTTAATTTGGGGGTAGGAGGAGTGCCGAGGGGGGTGGAGGGGGGCTTACTATATAGTCAGAAATCTAGGCTAGAACTGTGGCTGTAAATTCTCTCTGGCGTGACCGAACAGTACCAATGCCAAGTGTAGCACTCAGATGATGCACCAAAGCCCCCCCAAAATCTAGAAAGAGTTTCCTGGATGCTACCACCAGGATCCAGCCATGGCAACAGGGAGCTTAAAGGTGTAAATGATTAACCTTCAGGATGGCTCACCTAGATGTGCAAACGTTTGAAAAAGCTAAGCTCTCTACCAGGGTAACCCATTGGCTCTCATCTCTTAGATTTCATAAGAGTTTTACCTTCTGGGTAACATTTCAAAGCCCTGCTAAGATTAGTATCTACACCTGAACTCTGGACCATGGCTGCCTTCCAGCTACTATCTCTAGGCTGTCAATCTGGGTTAATTCGCCTATTAAAAATTTTTTTTTTATTTTAAAATCCTGTACTCTAATCATAAGAATTTCAACCAAGTTTCAGCTGGCTTCCGCATCTCACACTCCAGCAGGGACACAAGCCCGAAGGAAGAAAGGTGCTCGTCCATCTCCAGGCCGGCTTTCCCCACCTTTTTCCTTTTTGCTTTCCACCTGCATGAAGTTCCCTCTAAAGGTGCATGTCATTTTCTGGCCCTTTAAGTCCCGACACCCCATCCCACCCCGAGTTCCCTTCCATCCTCCGCACTTTCTCCCTCCCCACTTACAGTTTGCCTCGCCTCCCTCGGGGACTTTCTCGGTCCCTCTCCGGGCGTCCTTCTGCACCCCCACCCTTCTCTCTGCAGCGCGACTCCGGCCTTGCTTCCTCTCCCCTGCCCTTTCCCCTCCCCACGACACCGCTGCAGCAGACGACCCCGTCCCCACAGCCGGCGCGTTCCCTGACCTCCCCGCCGCCCCTCACCTCGGCCTCTTTCTCTCGCGCCCCGGAGCCCCGGCCTCCCCACCCCGTCCTCGGGTCCCCGGGGTCCCCCCACGCCGACCTCGGCCACTCCCTCCCGGTCACTCACAGGAGGCCGGAGCAGGTGGTGCACACGAAGCTGCCCACGGTGATATCCACGTAGGTGACCCCGCGCTGGGCGCACTCGAAGCAGTGGCGATTCCCGGCCTGGCTGCAGCCACCCAGCTCCCGCACCCGACGGCACCACACCTCCGAGGCCGCCTCCGCCTCCGCCTTGCCCCCGCTGACCCCGCCGCCCGGGCCCGGGCCCTTCTTCGCCGCCATCACCATCGCTGCCCACTCCCTCCCCGCTAGTCAGCAATCACCCCTTCAACCACTGCCGCCTTCCCGCCTCCTCAGCCGCCTCCGCACGCCCAGCTCCCCTGACAGAAGCTCGGGAGCGGGCGGTGTCCGCAGGAGACTCCGCCGCCCCCCACCCTCCTTGCCCGTCCTGCACGCTAATTGGCTAGGTTTCTCCCACCTCCTTATTCCGATTGGCCCTCCCTGGGACGGCCTCCCGTTGCTGGAGCGGCCAATGCCACGCCCCACCGCCTTCAGCCCCTAGGCCTCTCCTATTGGCCGGCAGAGACCCCGGCAGCGAGAACTGTGCGTGCCCTCTCCTTGTCCCCGCCCCCTCTCGCCACTGCCTCCACCACGGCCCGCCTCCTAGTTCCGATTGGTGAGTCCTCGGCACTCGTTCTCTGACGCTAACTCTGATTGGCTGGCGGGGCTGCAAAGTTAGCGCGCGAGACAGAGGAGGTGCCCCGCGCGTGCGTAGCTGTGGGCCTCCCGACTGATGACGTTAATTCCCGGCAAATTTCAAAGGCTTATTCTAGACTCTAGAGTGTCATGCAAAGCCGAAGAGAAGTGGCCATGTGAGGGGCTGAGCAGGAGGGGGAAAGAAGAGAGCGCTTAAGGGAGAGAGGGAGTGGGAGCAAGAATGCTTTACTAGACCAGTGCTCTAATTCCTGAGCCACGGAGCTAAGGGAGTGCTTTATAACTGTCATTTCATTCGCTCTGCCTATCACAGAGGTGGAATCCCCATTTTACACCCTTAGGTTGGACAACTTGCGGCAGATCACACGAGTATGTGGCCCAGGATTCCATCCTGGGTCTTCCAACTTTAGAAACCCTGCCTTTAACCCTCCTAGTAGGTGGACTAGTATTCGATTATTCATTTAACAAACACTGAGTGTCTGCTAGGTTTCAGGCACGTTGTAGACACTGGGAATAGAATACGGCAGCGAAGCAATCAAACAAAATATTCCTGTAGAGCTTACATTCTAGTAGGGGGAAGCAAACAATACACAAATTAAAGAATCACCAGTTAGTGATAAATCCTATGCAGAGAATTAAAATCAGGTCTTGGAAAAGACTTTTTGGGTACTTTTAAAATTTTTAAATTTAACGTTATCTTTCTGAGATGGAGTCTCACTCTATTGCCCAGGCTGGAGTTCAGTGGCACGATCTCGGCTCACTGCAACCTCTGCCTCCTGGGTTTAAGCAATTCTCATGCCTCAGTCTCCCGAGTAGCTGAGATTACAGGCAGCTGCCACCACCCCCGGATACTTTTTGTATTATTATTATTGTTATTTTTTCTTTTTTGAGGCGAAGTCTCACCCTGTCGCCCAGGCTGGAGTGCAGTGGCGCGATCTCGGCTCACTGCAAGCTTTGCCTCCAGGGTTCACGCCATTCTCCTGCCTCAGCCTCCCGAGTAGCTGGGACTACAGGCACCCGCCACCACACCTGGCTAATTTTTTTGTATTTTTAGTAGAGACGGAGTTTCACCGTGTTAGCCAGGATGGTCTCGATCTCCTGACCTCGTGATCTGCCCGTCTCAGTCTCCCAAAGTGCTGGGATTACAGGCATGAGCCACCGCGCGCAGCCAGTTTTTGTATTTTTAGTAGAGACAGGGTTTCACCATGTTGGCCAGGGTGGTCTCAAACTCCTGGCCTCAAGTGAGCCTCCCACCTTGGCCTCCCAAAGTGCTGGGATTACAGGCATGAGCCACAATGCCTGGTGACTTGTTGGGTACTTTAGATTGGGTTGGTCACTGTCATGCACGTCTGTCTGTGTGAAGAGACCACCAAACAGGCTTTGTGTGAGCAATAAAGCTTTTAATCACCTGGGTGCAGGCAGGCTGAGTCCGAAAAGAGAGTCAGCGAAGGGAGATGAGGGTGGGGCCGTTTTATAGGATTTGGGTAGGTAAAGGAAAATTACAGTCAAAGGGGGGTTGTTCTCTGGCGGGCAGGAGTGGGGGTCACAAGGTGCTCAATGGGGGAGCTTTTTGAGCCAGGATGAGCTAGAAAAAGGACTTTCACAAGGTAATGTCATCACTTAAGGCAACGACCGGTCATTTTCACTTCTTTTGTGGTGGAATGTCATCGGTTAAGGCAGGGCAGGACATTTTCACTTCTTTGTGATTCTTCGGTTACTTCAGGCCATCTGGGCGTATACGTGCAAGTCACAGGGGATGCGATGGCTTGACTTGGGCTCAGAGGCCTGACAGTCACCATTTTTAAAACAATGACTTTTTTTTTTTTGAGACAGGGTCTCGCTTTATCGCCCAGGATAGAGTGCAGTGACACAATCATGGCTCACTGCAGCCTCAACCTTCTGGACTCAAGTGATCCTCCCACCTCAGCCTCCCAAGTAGCTGGGACTACAGCTGTGTGCCACCATGCCTGGTGAATTTTTCAAAATTTTTTGTAGAGACTGGGTCTCACTATATTGCCCAGGCTGGCCTGGACCTCCTGGGCTCAAGTGATCCACTCACCTCAGCCTCCACCTCCCAGGTTCAAGCGATTCTCCTGCCTCAGCCTCCCAAGTAGTTGGGATTACAGGCGTGTGCCACCATGTCCAGCTAATTTTTGTATTTTTAGTAGAGATGAGGTTTCACCATGTTGGCCAGGCTGGTCTTGAAGTCCTGATCTCAAGTGATCCACCGGCCTTGGCCTCCCAAAGTGCTAGGATTACAGATGTGAGTCACCGTGCCCGGCCTCTTTTTTTTTTTTTTTTTTTTTTTTTGAGGCAAGGTCTTGCTTTGCTGCCCAGGTTGGAGGGCAGTAGCACAGTCGTAGCTCACTGTAGCCTCAACCTCCCCAGCTCAAGTAATCCTCCCACCTAAGTCTCCAGAGTAGCTCAGACTACAAGCACACACCATCATGCCTGGCTAATTTTTTATTTTTTTGTAGAGAAGGGGTCTCACTATGTTGTCCAGACTGGTGGCTGGCAGTCTGCTCTCTCTCTCTCTCTTTTTTTTTTTCTTTTTGAGACAGGGTCTTACTCTATCACCCAGGCTGGAGTACAGTGGCACGATCTTAGCTCACTGCAACCTCCACTTCCTGGTGCTCGAGTGATCCTCCCACCTCAGCCTCCCGAGTATCTGGGACTACAGATGCATGCGACCACGCCCAGCTAATTTTTTGTATTTTTAGCATGTTGGCCAGGCTGGTCTCGAACTCCTGACCTCAGGTGGTCTGCCTGCTTTGACCTCCCAAATTGCTGGGATTACAGGCGTGAGCCACCACACCCAGCCCACTTTTTCAATTAATGGCACCATGAGCCACCTAGTTGCCCAAAGCAAAAATCTAGAGCTACTCTCTTCAATACGGCAGCCACTAATCATATGTGGCTACTTAAGTTTAAATTAAATTAAAATGGGCCTGGTGCGGTGGCTCACGCCTGTAATCCCAGCATTTTGGGAGGCTGAGGCAAGCGGATCACGAGGTCAGGAGTTCAAGAAAAGCCTGGCCAACACAGTGAAACCCTGTATCTACTAAAAATACAAAAACTAGCCAGGCGTGGTGGCGGGCACCTGTAATCCCAGCTACTTGGGAGGCTGAGTCAGGAGAATTGCTTGAACCTGGGAGGTGGAGGTTGCAGTAAGCTGAGATTGCGCCATTGCACTCCAGCCTGGGTGACAGAATGAGACTCTGCACCCGCACCCCCCCCCCAAAAAAAAGAAAGAAAAAGGAAAGGAAAGGAAAAGGGGAGACTGAAGGAGGAGTAGGTTAGGGCAGAGGTCCCCAACCCCTGGGCCATGGACCAGTACCTGTCTGGGGCCTGTTAGGAACCAGGCCATGCAGCAGGAAGTAAGTGGTGGGCGAATGAGCAAAGCTTCATCTGTATTTACAGCCACACTACCCATTGCTCCCATTACTGCCTGAGCTCTGCCTCCTGTCAGATCAGCAACAGCATTAGATTCTCATAGGAGCACAAACCCTATTGTGAACTGCCATGCCAGGGATCTAGGTCATGCACTCCTTATGAGAATCTAATGCTTGATGACCTGTCACTGTCTCCCATCACCCCCAGATGGGACCATCTGGTTGCGGGAAAACAAGCTCAGGGCTCCCACTAATTCTACATGATGGTGAGTTGCATAATTATTTTGTTATACATTACAATATAATAATAATAGAAATAAAGTGCACAGGCTGGGCGCGGTGGCTCACGCCTGTAATCCCAGCACTTTGGGAGTCGAGGCAGGTAGATCACGAGGTCATGAGATCGAGACCATCCTGGCCAACATGGTGAAACCTCATCTCTACTAAAAATACAAAACTTATCTTGGCATGGTGGCACGTGCCTGTAATCCCAGCTACTTGGGAGGCTGAGGCAGGAGAATCGCTTGAACCTGGGAGGCGGAGGTTGCAGTGAGCCAAGATAGCACCACTGCA